TCGAGCGCATTACAGAATGAGCCCCACTGAGCATGAAGAGTTGCGCAGGCAAGTTGAGGAGCTTCTGGCAAAAGGACACATCAGGGAGAGTCTTAGTCCTTGTGCTGTTCCTGCTCTTCTTACACCGAAGAAGGATGGCACGTGGCGCATGTGCGTGGATAATAGGGCAATTAATAAGATTACGGTGCGTTACCGCTTTCCTATTCCCCGCCTAGATGACTTGTTGGATTAGCTTACCGGTGCTTGTGTGTTTAGCAAGCTTGATTTGAAGAGTGGGTACCATCAGATTCGGATCAGACGTGGGGATGAGTGGAAGACCGCATTTAAGATGAGGGAAGGATTGTATGAGTGGTTAGTCATGCCCTTCGGCCTCTCAAATGCGCCCAGTACATTTATGCGGGTTATGAATCAGGCTCTTCGCCCATTCATCGATAAATTTGTTGTGGTCTACTTTGATGATATTTTAATTTATAGTGCTAATGATGATGAACATGTCCGGCACCTTCGGGAAGTTCTTTTAGTTCTTCGCAGGGATAAATTCTATGCTGCGGTGAAGAAGTGTTCATTTCTCACTGATAGTGTGGTGTTCCTGGGTTATGTGGTGTCGAAGGTGGGGTTAGAAGTTGATACGTCTAAAGTAGAGGCGATAAGTCAATGGCCACAGCCCAAAACTGTCACTGAGGTGCGGAGTTTTCATGGCCTTGCTTCCTTCTATCGCAGGTTCATACCGCATTTCAGTAGCATCATGGCACCAATTACAGATTGCATGAAGGATGGTAGGTTTCAGTGGACTCACGAGGCAGAGTCATCTTTCCAATTGATTAAGCAGAAGTTGACTACTGCTCCAGTTTTGGTGCTGCCTGACTTTACCCAACCATTTGAGCTGCATTGTGATGCTTCGAAAGTGGGTATTGGTGGTGTACTGAGTCAGAACAACCGCCCTGTTGCATATTTCAGTGAGAAGCTTTCTGGGTCGAAGTCTCGGTACAGTACTTATGATGTGGAGTTCTATGCAATAGTCCAGGCCGTTCGGCATTGGCGTCACTATTTGTTCCATAAGGAGTTCATTTTGTATACGAATCATGATGCCCTTGGTACTCAGGATAAGGTTTCTGCTCGACATGCCTCTTGGATTGCTTATCTACAGCAATTTACTTTTTTAATCAAGCACAAGGCAGGTGCCCTTAACAAAATTGCGGATGCGTTGAGTAGGCGCCAAACGCTCCTTACAGAAATGCGAGTGGAGGTTCTAGGTTTTGACAGGGTGTGTGACTTATATGCTACTGACCCATACTTTTCCCATGTTGTCCAGAAGTTGCAGGAGGGTGTGCAGTCGGAGTTTACATGGGTTGATGGTTTTCTTTTTCATGGAAATCAGTTGTGTGTTCCAGAGAGCAGTTTGAGGTTGAAGATCATTCAAGAGTTGCATAATGAGGGCCATGTGGGTCGTGACCGAACATTGCAGCTTGTTGCTGCTTCTTACTTTTGGCCATCATTGCGCAAGGATGTCAGCAAGTTTGTGGAGCGTTGTCGGGTTTGTCACTTGGCCAAGGGCAAGGCGACCAATGCGGGCTTGTATATGCCCCTACCTATCCCAACCCAGCCTTGGACAGATGTGAGTATGGATTTCGTTGTGGGACTTCCCAGGACCCAGTGTGGTTTTGATTCAATCTTCGTAGTGGTTGATCGGTTTTCAAAAATGGTACATTTCATCCCCTGCAAGAAGACTACAAATGCTGTCAATGTAGCCTTATTGTACTTTCGTGAAGTTTATCGCCTTCATGGACTGCCTACATCTATTGTGTCCGATCGGGATACTCGTTTCCTCAGCCACTTTTGGCGCAGCCTATGGCGCTCTGTGAATACACGACTGGACTTCAGCAATGCATATCATCCTCAAACAGATGGTCAAACAGAGGTTGTTAACCGTTCCTTAGGTGATTTACTACGTTGTTTGGTTGGTGATCACATTAAGTCTTGGGATCAGAAGTTGTGTCAAGCAGAATTTGCTCACAATCATGCTGTTAACCGAAGTACAGGTTTTAGTCCGTTCCAGGTGGTGTATGGCCTTGTTCCTCGTGGTCCTCTTGATCTAGTTCCAGTTTCTACTTCTGTTAAAATGCATGGTAAGGCTGAAGACTTTATTCAACAACTGCACCAGGTTCACTTACAGACTCATGATCAGCTGCAGGCTGCTGTCGCTGAATATAAGCGTGCTGCGGATCTCAAGCGTAGACATGTTGAGTTTGAGGTAGGTGACTTTGTTTGGGCGGTGTTAACAAAGGATCGTGTTCCTGCTCATGAATACAACAAGCTTACCGCGAAGAAGATTGGTCCGTTGGAGGTCATTGAGAAAATCAATCCAAATGCTTACCGTTTAAAGCTGCCCAGCCATATTCGTACCTCCGACGTGTTCAATATCAAGCATTTGGTGCCATTTCATGGTGATAATTCTGGTGATGATGATGAAGCTCCTTTCCCGTCAAATTCGAGGGCGAATTTTTCCCATCCTAGGGAGAATGATAAAGTGCACAAGGGATTAGAGTTCATGGCAAAATGGGACCATCACAAGGCAAAAGTTGGCAAAAGGGGCAAATGATTTAATGATGACTTTGAGTTTGTTTTTGGCAAATCACTAGTCTAATTTGATTGGAGCCGAGCCAAGGAATAAAACTCAGCGCCTTTGGCCCTGACGTAAGACCAATTTCGGGCAAAATCCATCGTTTAGGCCCTCGTTTAATCGTTTTTGCTATTTATGGTAATTTTCATTTTTGCAATATCTCTTTCCATGAAATTCGGATTTAGATTCCGTTTGTTGGAGGATGATCCCGAAGATAAGTATTTTCCATTTTAGTAATTATCTCATATTTTCCATTTTTGGAAAAAAATATCTTTATTTTATTTTTCGAATTTTCCTAGATTTTTTCTATTTAAGCAGTTGTAAGCCCTTAGAGGCAGGATCTCTTGAATTCAATAAAATCTTTCTTGAGAGTTTTCTCAATTTGTGATTGTTTATCTTCCCTATAATATTTCCGCTACGTCAGTTCCGCTGGTATCAACCTATAGTATGAGTATTTTGTCGGTGTAATTATGTTTATGCAATTTGGAATGAATACTTTTCCTGTAGCAATAGCTTCTCTTAGACAATCAGATTTCTTGTTGGGAAACTCGTTTTAATGCAATTGGAGATTGGAACCTTTCCCCTTCTCAGTAAATAAGTAAAAAAACATAACATTCGGTTATCTAGAAGAGACGGTAGTTTCAATTTTGTGGCGTAAAGACATAGCTCGTGGTGGTGTTGTGGAAAGGTGGATCTTTTGATTGCACTGTCAAGCAGAGGTAGTGAATACTCGAAGGTAGAGGAAGAAATTAAATACAATGCAATAGACGTTTGAGTTTCAAAAAATTGTTTCAGGTGTTCATCTATATAAGAATTTCATTCTCTAAATTCAATTTCATGAGAAGGTAGGAATAGAGAATGAACACATACCCTTTCCCATGTTGAATGGAAGTGTTTCTTGAAGGGAGATATTTTTTTTTTTCGATGATGCATACATAATTCAGTTTACTTGTTACTCAGATGTTTGATATTACATTGAGTTGTGAAGAAATAATTTCAATGGTTGATTAACTAGTGACATAGAATTGCTTAGGTATATGCAGGACAAAAATTGAGTAAAGGGCATATTTTATTTGTCTAACATCTAAAGACGGTCAATTGATGTCTTGCAGTCAGATTCTTGATTTCTAGTCGATAAGGCTTTACTTTTTTACACAAAGTGGACGCATTAGCATGTCTAAATGAAAAGCTTGGATGTCAGAAGAACTATGCTATGTACCAAAGTCGATTGAGTTGGTTCAAGCAACAATATACAAATACTCTGAACTTATGCGGTATAGCTCTGGTTTTGGATGGGATCCAATCTTATGAAATCTGTTAAATTCTATTGAATCCCATAAAATCCATGAAAATTTATAAATATTTAGAAATCTATTAAAATTTGAGTTGAGGACACCCTCGTAAATTCAATAGTTGGATTTAGTCTTGTGGTCAATTCTCATTTTCTAGTCATGTAACATTCACTCTTGCTCGTAGTACAATATATATTTGAATTTGATTTCGATTTTGATTTCGAATATTTTGGCTTTATAATTACAAGACTCTTCACTTATTTTCATTTGGACTTGGCATAACAAAAGAGAGAAAGTATCGAGAGGTAACTAAGTGGGAGAAGTTCATATCTCCGACGAAATTCTTGGTGGCTTCCGACTGATCATTTTCTCGGTACGTCCATTACAATTCCCGTGGACGATGGTGTATGATCTTGTGTGGTACAAATCTGAGTTTAACATCATAAAACATTCCATTGGTGGTGTTGAATAAGCTTTATGTCGATTGGTTTGATTTTTTTCACTTTGAGAGTTCATGTTTCCGCATTGTAGTTGTAATAGTCATATATACACTACATTTTCAACTCTACAAAAATAAATTAAGTTTTGAATTTGCCCGTTGGGATCAATAAAAAACCCAATCAACAATCTGCAGGCTTCTTCAGAGCCCTTTATATGCACAAAGGAATAAAGAAAAATTATAGAACACCGGATCGGACGGCCTTGTTCTCAAAGACATTTTGCCAAAGAGTAGATTGACAATACTAGACATTGTTAAGAAGAGCAACATTATATTGTCTAGCCAAGTTGAGTACTCTGTATCGAACATTGGTCTTGTGGGCAGGGCAAAAAGTATAGCTTTTTACAATAGCAAAAACTCATAAATTGTCCAAATTCTGCTGAAAACCTTTTAAGTCAGTAAGTCCATAGAGTTCAAACTTTTTAGTAGCCCACGTTCAACCCCTTTTATTCAGTTCATTTACAGACAAATTAAAAAATATCCTCCCTGATCATGGGAAAATTGCCATACACTATTTAAATAGAGTTTCTGCCCAGAAAGGCAAAAAATTAAAGTACCCCACAACCGTGATTCACGAAATAACTCTGATTTACGACTGTATTTCCCATATACGCCCAGTCACGTTTAGCTTTAGCTCCTGGATATTACCTTCAGAGAAAAAGAGTGCCATGTTTCTATGAATGATTAATCCATCCAAGCTTTCTCGAACTGTAGCACGACTATCACGAATGCTCCTTGGGACTCCTTGCCATGTCAGCTTTCTATCATTTCCTCCAACTTCCAAGCTATAATTGAATTTTTTTGCATCATGCTCCTCACCCATGAAATGAATGAATGCCATATAAACGGGAGCCCTTTGCAGATTGAAAGCCTCAAAGTGCAAACAAAAATGGTAACCGAAACAGTTGAACAGCTGCACCATATGAAAACCATAGAGTATGTTTAAGCACAAAAAGTTCACCTATAAGTAAATGAGTTATTAATTATTTCAAAGTTGAAAGTAAGTCACTAAGGCGTGAATTACTTTCAAGTAACTTGTTTTATGCAAAAGTAAGAAAACAATAATTTATCCAAAAATGTTAAGAAAATAGAAGGTTACTTATTTCTAAGCTTAGCTAAACATGTGTTAAGGCTTGAGGTTCCATCTTAAAGGTCAAACTTATTAAAAAGATTAGTTCAAGACCTTATAAGTTGGTTTATGTTTTCATTTTTATTCGATGTGGGATTTTATCCCTTAATATGCCCCGCAAGATGTGGCTCGTTTGAGCAGACTAATCTTCAAATCCATATGCTCATTTATTAAGTTTTAATCGGATCGAATCACTCGTTGAAACTTAATGGGCTCTGATATTATGTTAAGGCTTAAGGTTCCATCTTAAAAGGTCAACCTTGTTAAGATAAGTAATCTAAGACCTTATAAGTTTGTCTATGTTTTCATCTTTATCCGATGTGGGATTATATCCCTTAATAACATGCTCCTAGATGAACAAAGATAATCCCCAATAAGATTTATCATGGAGAAACTGATGACGGAGAGTTCAAAATGAGACAGGATTATGTTGCATGATATAGTAATAAATAAAGAAACTGAGAAATATGACACGTACAATGAAAGAGGAGTGCATGGCACATTTCTTCCAGCATTTCGCTATGACAGCAATGGCATTGGCGAAAGCAGGAGTAGAAACCTCTTTTCTTTTTCTTTTTTGGTAAAAATATGACAGAAATAAACAACAAACACTACATGGACGTGTTCTGAAAACCAAACAAAATTTTGATTCTTGGAATTTACATCGTTTACCATATTCAGTGAAATGGCCTTTGATGGAAGTCAATGTATGGTATTAAGAAGACTGATAAAGCTGTTAAGTTGGCAATTAAGCAACTTCCACCTTTGTGGTTCTTTACGTTTTGAAGCAACAATGACAAATCTTAAAATTCGAAATTTTATTCAACCATGGAAAAATTCGAAATTATGCTAATGATAGAGTACTTACAGTCAACATCCATGTAGCATTTTCAACACCTTGAGCATCGGTCATGACGTACCGGTGGTTAAAAGTACTCCCGTCATGCATATCAACCTGATGATAATTCTTTAGATGTTGTACAAGAAATAGGATATTACCATCGATAGGGCATTCAACTCCAGCATAAGGGCAATTGTATGGACGAAATTGGCAACTCTTTTCATGCCTAAACCTGCTTTTGTATGGAAATATATCATGACAACCGAGAGACTCGTATCTGCACGGCACTTCTAGAGATTGTGCAACTCTCTCCAACGCGAGGCATCTTATGTTCCCAAGTTCTTGACGGCAAATTGGGCAAGAACGCACTTTGGACTTGCACTTAGAGCACAAAGTGTGGCCATTTGAACACTGAACATGTGAAAATGATAGTGCGACTTCAGCAATAAAATGGGCTTTGAAAGAGTGATTTTATTTTTATGCACCAAGGACTGACAGATAGGGACCATATATATTCATATTATCGTTTATGCATCAAGGGGATGAGAATAATATGATGCTAAATAATTTTCATATTTTTAAGAACTAAATTTTGTGGAAAACTTGTTCAAACAAAAATCAAAGTTTTGTCACATTAAGGAACAGAGTTGGAATTACTGGATCCATCCTGTCAGATTATATCTCATGCCTGAGGCAAAACCGTTAATAATAGAATATATGTTTCTACATAGAATCTGTATCAACCACATCAATAATTTATTCAATATGCCAAAGAATATTTATTCAACCACATCAATAATTTATTTGACAACATAATGATGATGCTAGTCGAACTAGAAGTTCATATAGCGGTTAAGGCTAAAAAGAAATGCTATGAAAATTATTGAAATATGAAGATGTAGAAGCTTTAGAAGTAAAAGTAACCTAAACTGAGAATCAAGAGGGGTTTTTCAAGAATGCATACGGAGAAATGAATGGTAAGTTATACAGTGATCTTCTAGGCTGGGAAATTTATTAACAAGATATCTTGTGAATGGAAAAGATAAACAAGATATAAATCAAGACTTGCAACATAATGATTCTAATGAAGATGACACGGAATACACAGTTCAGAACAAGGAAGAGACATAAAAGAGTATGTTTTGAAACCCTAATCACAATCACTTTAATTGCTTTATGCAAGTTAGAAGTACCCAAGAAACAAAAATTATCACTTACAAGAGATTGTACCTGGTGAATTGGAGGATACATTATGTTCATACAAATAGGGCACTCAAGCAGTTCGCGTACAACAGTTTTTGACAGCACTCCGTGATTTATGCCCATACGAGTCGAACTGTCGGGTGCAATAACGCCTTCATTGGTGCTACCTCTACGAGCCATTGTTTTTACGAAATGGCGATTTGTTGAATTCCTGTAAATGTTAGCATGCAAAGTTAATTGGGAAAAGAGTATACTTAAGACAATTAGTATTATGAAGTGAGCTATTGCAGCATTTATATTATGTAGAGACAAACTTGACACTACAATAACAATTGGCAAAATAATTAGAATGTTTAGATATCAAGAATGTTAACAAAGTTCAATTACAAAGTGCTATACTAAACATGATTGAAATTAAATCTTGGAAAATCATCATTAAATAACTAAAAATTGAAAGTAACTAGTGCGCACGAAAAGGAAAAGAAATAAACTGTCAAAGTGTATGTATCGTTGGTTAAAAGGAAAATATATGGAGAATATATAGAAATTAGAGTACACAGTCAATAAAATGGAACACTGTAATCATACTAATATTCATAAAGTATTCTTCAAATCAATGCTCTCCTGACTATTTTGCATTTTGTAAAGAAAAGCAAATCAGAAAACAAGTGGCCTTTGAAAAAAATCTATATTTTGGACAAATAAAGAGTTAACTCCTAAGAATATCATAAAAATACACAAGCCAAAGGACTAACCTACAAATTTAAAATTATTCCTACAACTGAAATGTATTGTAAGATTCTTGTAGACTATTGAAGGGCACTAAGAAATTGTTGAGTAGTAAACTTGATTTTTGGACTAAATAATATGGGCTTAAGGATTTTGTTTATAGGCCCAAATCAATTAAAAGGCCCAACATGCATAGCATTTCTAGAAGCATTATCTAGAAAAATCTATATAAATATCTATTAGAAAAATCTATATAAATATCTAAGTAAGATATGTAGTTTTATAAAGAATATCTAGAGAATTCTAGGAAAATATCTTGATATGTGGTCTAGGTATCTCTAGAAAATGTGTGGACTAGAATCTTCTTGTAAACACTATATAAAGGGGTAGTGCCCTCCATTTTGTAACAAGCCAAAAAGTGTGTAAAGTCTTGAATTTGAGAAATACAAGTTTCTTTTTTTTCACTTCCTTCTTCCTATTAGTGTTGTCCTCTTAAAAGCCTTAGTCAATCCAAGTTAGTAAACCCATCTTTCCTCCAACAAACTGGTATCAGAGCCCCAAGGTTCTTGTGAAAAATGGCAAGTGGGATGATTCCTTTTCAAGTCCCCCAACTCAACAAGGATAACTACGACAATTGGAGTATAAGGATGAAAGCATTGCTCGGGTCGCAAGATGCATGGGAGATCGTAGAGAAAGGCTACACGGAGCCACAAGACGAGGTTGCTCTATCCCAAGCACAAAGGGATAGTTTGAAGGATGCAAGGAAGAAGGACAAGAAGGCGCTCACCCTCATCTATCAAGCCTTAGATGAAGGCATGTTCGAGAAAGTAGCTTGTGCTACTACAAGTAAGGAAGCATGGGAGATCTTGCAAAACTCCCACAAAGG